CATAAAGCAGGGGATGCTTTAGGGCGGGGCTACACGCTGATTGACAGATTTCTACCAGAGACCTATACGGCGTCTCTACGTCACTCCTCCTCAGTCCAGATATGGTCACTTCCTGTTCACTGGTTGAGATGAAAACAAGATGGCGACAGTGAAATCACCAAACTCAAGACTTCAAAACGTCACCATGACGACGTCCACTTCTTCTATAAATTAAACTACGTCAGAATTTATTCCTCAAAAGTGTTTCTATAATCTATAATCTATTTAGTGCATCAACTCGTTTTACACAAAGTCAAAACAGAAAAGAGGAAGTGACCAATGAATGAGAAACTGTTCTTCTGAACCATGTTGAAGCTGCTTCAGACGTTCGGCCCCGAGGACGTTTGTATCATCGTCTATTCCTAAACGTCTGGCTGGACTCAGAGACCAGAGGAGGAGGAGGAGGAGGAGGAGGCCTCACTAAACATAGAGCCAACATCTACAACCAAACATCAATCTCTTCACTACACAGACGAGTCCTCCGGCTCCTTCTCCCTCAGAGGATGAAGATGAAGTGGGAGGAAGAGGTGAGCAGGGTGAACGCCCAGAGGGTCCTCCTCTTCATCCTCCTCCTCCTCTTCATCCTCCACTTTTAGATCGTAGGGCAGTTCTTTAAATTCTTCCTTCACTAGAGAAACCGAGTAGTCGAATGTGGAAACAAGAGCTTTTTATAAAAAGGGTCTTTTTTAATTTGAATGAAGACGAGCAATGATGATGAAGATGAGTGTGAAGTGTAGAGGAAGAAGTTTAGAATCTGTTTCAGACTACAAGACGACGATAATCAATGACAACAAACGGCTACAATTAAATATAATGTTTAAAACTCTTAAGTAAATAAAAAGGTCTTATATACTATCGAGTTATAGAGTTATAGAGTTATAGAGTATCGAGTTATAGAGTATCGAGTTATAGAGTATCGAGTTATAGAGTATAGAGTTATAGAGTTTCGAGTTATAGAGTTATAGAGTATAGAGTATAGAGTTATAGAGTATAGAGTTATAGAGTTATATACTATAGAGTTATATACTATAGAGTTATATACTATAGAGTTATATACTATAGAGTTATAGAGTATAGAGTTATAGAGTATAGAGTATAGAGTTATAGAGTATCGAGTTATCGAGTTATAGAGTTATAGAGTTATAGAATATAGAGTTATAGAGTATAGAGTTATAGAGTACCGAGTATAGAGTTATAGAGTATCGAGTTATCGAGTTATAGAGTATCGAGTTATCGAGTATCGAGTTATAGAGTATCGAGTTATCGAGTTATAGAGTATAGAGTTATAGAGTATAGAGTTATAGAGTTATATACTATAGAGTTATATACTATAGAGTTATAGACTATAGAGTTATAGAGTATCGAGTTATAGAGTATCGAGTTATAGAGTATCGAGTTATAGAGTTATATACTATAGAGTTATATACTATAGAGTTATAGAGTATAGAGTTATAGACTATAGAGTTATAGACTATAGAGTTATAGAGTTATAGAGTATAGAGTAATAGAGTATCGAGTTATAGACTATAGAGTTATAGACTATAGAGTTATATACTATAGAGTTATAGAGTATCGAGTTATAGAGTTATAGAGTATAGAGTATAGAGTTATATACTATAGACTTATATACTATAGAGTTATAGAGTATAGAGTTATAGAGTATCGAGTATAGAGTTATAGAGTATCGAGTTATAGAGTTATCGAGTATAGAGTTATAGAGTATCGAGTTATCGAGTTATAGAGTATAGACTATAGAGTTATAGAGTATAGAGTTATCGAGTTAGAGAGTATAGAGTTATAGAGTATCGAGTTATCGAGTTATAGAGTTATCGAGTATAGAGTTATAGAGTATCGAGTTATCGAGTTATAGAGTATAGACTATAGAGTTATAGAGTATAGAGTTATCGAGTTAGAGAGTATAGAGTTATAGAGTATCGAGTTATAGAGTATCGAGTTATAGAGTATCAAGTTATCGAGTTATAGAGTATAGAGTATAGAGTTATAGAGTATCGAGTTATCGAGTTATAGAGTATAGAGTTATAGAGTATAGAGTATAGAGTTATATACTATAGAGTTATAGACTATAGAGTTATAGAGTTATATACTATAGAGTTATAGAGTATCGAGTTATAGACTATAGTTATAGACTATAGAGTTATAGAGTATAGAGTTATATAGTATAGAGTTATAGAGTATAGAGTTATAGAGTATAGAGTTATATATTAATAAAGAGTTAAACTTTCAAATGATTCTACTTTAAATAATGAAGTAAAAGTTCCAGTTTGGACGAAGAAAAGTAACTTTGAGCCTCTTAAAGATGAGAAAATGAGACATGAAGTCAGTTCCTCCTGAGAACCAGAACCTCTACAGAACCAGAACCATCTACAGAACCAGAACCTCTGAAGAACCAGAACCTCTATAGAACCAGAACCATCTACAGAACCAGAACCTCTTCAGAACCAGAACCTCTATAGAACCAGAACCATCTACAGAACCAGAACCTCTACAGAACCAGGAAGTGGATCACTTGGATGTTCATATTCAGATAAAACTGTGATCAGGTGTTTCTTGAAAAGCAACGCTGATTAAAACTCTTCACAGCTGCTTCCTGTGTTTCTTTGTTCAGTCTTTCAGAGCTTCACAGCTTTATCCTGATTGGTTAACAGAGTTCTGTAAACACGTCTGTCAGGTTTCATGAAGGACTAGAGGAACCTCTGAGCTCTAACAGAAGAAATAGAAACACAACAACAACCGTGACGATCAGCTTCAGGACCGATGAATAAGAGAAACACTCAAGAGAAACACTCAAGATGTTGAAACATGAAGAAGCTCCTGAAGCAGCCAAAGAACCCAAAACATACATTTTAAACATTCATGCAGCTGTTTTTCTCTCCAACGTTTTGAGAGTCCCAGAATAAAAAAATCACAAACATCTTCATCAGTTCCTCATCCTCCTACCTTCTTCAGCTGACCGCTCCGTGTCCCCACGAACACCACCGTGTGCTCCCCGTAGGTGTAGGCCGCCACGGCCCCCATGCCCTCGGTCCGGTCCTCATAGAGCGGGTTCCCCTCGATGACCCTCAGACCCCCTAGAGGCTGGTTCAGGACCAGACCACAGAAATCATCTCCGATCTGCTTCGGCTGTGGAACGCAGAGAGAAGAGATATGATTAATAATTCATGAATTTAGTAAATATGAGGGATGACATCATCGTCAACCTGCATTAGATGGAAATGATGTATTTGTTATCTTCTTTAAACAAAGGTGGAAATATTAAAGCTCTGTTGTCTCTATATATGTTTATATATATTTACAGTAGATGATATGTTCATATTTATCAAGAGGAACACACACACACACACACACACAGCTGAGGTTGGTTAGTTAGTCGGTTGGTTTCACAAGACACCAGCCAGACGATCAGCTGATCCTTCGCTAACAGGATGTTAGCCGCCATGCTAACATGCTAGCTCACCGTGTGGATGCAGGGCAGCTCCTTGTTGAGTAACCAGGGTAAGGAGAGGCGTCCCTCTCCACGGTAACAGGACCGGATCCTCTCCCTCATGGCCAGGTTGATGTGCTGCAGGGTGAACAGACACAGCACCGTCTCTCTGGGGGGGTTGGACCGGTTCTTCTGACCCTGAACACACAGAGAGAGAGAGACAGGTGAGGGTTCAAGTCCCTGAAGCAAGGCACGGTGATGTCACAAGGAACAAAGGAAACAGGAGACGAGGACAAAGGACACAGGAGACGGACATTAAGACAAGTCCGGAAGAAGAGACTACGTCAACAAAGACAGACTGGAAGTTACAGTCAGAATACGCACAATAAAGAGAAAGACAAACAGAGGAAGACAATAGTTAGATGAAGAAGAAAGACAGAGACAAAAGAAAGAGAAAGAATGTAACGAAAGAAGACAGAAAAGATGAGACACTGATGACAAAATGTAAAAAGAAAGAAAAAGAAATGGAAGTCTGTCTGTCTCTCTGTCTCCCCGTCTGTCTGTCCTTCACTCACCTGTGAGAAGACAACAAAGAGGACATCGTCGTCCTCCGACAGGCCGAGTGCGTGGGCCAGCCTCCGCCCTGGTTTCTGCTTGTAGGCGGCCTGGACGAGTCGGTACTCCACGCCGTCCTTGGTGCAGCCCAGAGGGAACTCCACGTAGGAGTAGAACTCGGTGTCGTTGGAACACATGCGGACGATCTTAGAGGTGAAGAACTTCTCTCCGCCGGTGTCCATCTGCGTGAGCTGCGTGTCCAGCTGCAGCGTCAGGAAGTAGACGTAGGTGCGGCTGGAGAAGCCATAGACGTAGTAGATGTCGAAGGCCGGGTAGAGGGACAGCGTGTCCGACGGGATCTTGATCTGAGAGGACACAAACTCGTCCTGGTAGACCAGAGAGAACATGTTGACGCTCTCCTCGTCCGCCACCAGCTTCCTGCTGGACAGCGTGGGGAAGTACTCTGACTTCCCGTCGATGGCGGCGCCGATGAAGAGCCGGCTGCCGCCCTTCACGGGCCTCTTCCTCTTCGGGTCGGCCGTCCAGTCGTCCTCGCCGACTACCACACCTGAGGAGGAGGAGGAGGAGGAGGAAGAACACATTCATGACACCGGTTTACAGATTACTTTGTTCTTACAGCAGATGATTGACAGGTCTCTCCTTTAAGTTAATAAAATGTGATTTCACCGTTGACTTGTTTACATTTCAGGCATTGATTTCTCCACCTTATTGATACATTTATTGTTTATATTTAACACAATACAACAGGTGCAGACAGACAGGTGCAGACAGACAGGTGCAGACAGACAGGTGCAGACAGACAGGTGTATGCAGACAGACAGGTGCAGACAGACAGGTGCAGACAGACAGGTGCAGACAGACAGGTGTATGCAGACAGGTGTATGCAGACAGGTGTATGCAGACAGACAGGTGTATGCAGACAGACAGGTGTATGCAGACAGGTGTATGCAGACAGACGTATGCAGACAGACAGGCGCAGACAGACTGGCGCAGACAGACAGGCGCAGACAGACACGTGCAGACAGACAGGTGCAATAGAAAACATCCTGACTGGAAACATCACAAACTAACATGAGGTGTTCAGGGTCCAGGAGAATAGAGCTCTACAGCGGGGGATTAAAGCCAGAACATCACTGGGACCATCTGCTGGTGATATTGGTGACAAGAGGTGCCTGCGCAGAGCTAAAAGGTTATTAAGTCACCCTGCTTAGGTTATAAGAAGTCCCAGGTTGCTAGTTGTTAAGTGGTTAAAAGGGTTTTTACAGCGTTGTTCTCGTATTAATATCTAGTTCTCACCTCCAGAAGCATTTCAGAACTCACAATCATGAGATCAAGTCTTATAATTATGAGATAAACTAATGTTTACAGCAGAGTGAGTGACTGTGATGACTGTTTGAGAGCAGAGACGAGCTCTGAGATGAGACGACTCGCTGTCAGCGTTGTTGTTTGTCAATCATCTGTTTTGTCAGAAGTCTTCATTCAGCTTTTTGTTCAAAATAAAAACAAGGGCAGCTGATTTACAATAAAGATAAAAAATAAACATGTCGACACTGACACATAATTGACAAAATGCTTCTTCAGCTTTTCAAGAACAAAGTCGAGAGGAAACACGAGAGCTTTCTTTATCTTTTCTTGTTTTACATCAAAATTACCAAAACCTTTATCGGCAAAAACTCTGCTGAATGTCTTTGGATGTAATAAACAAACCTGTGAAACCTGAGCAGAAACTTTAAAGAGTGACCTTCAGTCAGAATGTCTCCATCTTTATTTAAGTTATTTATTACAGTTGTGTGAAAAAGTGTTTGCCCCCTTCCTGATTTCTTATTTTTTTGCATGTTTGTCACACTTAAATGTTTCAGATCATCAAACACATTTAAATATTAGACAAAGATAACACAAGTAAACACAAAATGCAGTTTTTAAATGAAGGTTTTTATTATTAAGGGGGAAAAA